CATTATTATTATTATTATCATTATTAACATTATCAATATTACTATCACTGTTATTATCACTACCATTATTATCATTTAGTTAGTTTGTTGTTATTACTTTACCCTTATTTTTATCCTTACTGTCTTTGTTGTATAAGGAGCATTTCTTGTAACATGTTTTCACATGCTGCATTTGATGAGTGGTGATAAAGTTATAGGTATGGCTCAATTGTCCAGATCTCGAGGCAACCATTAAAAACGACGAACTGCCCTGTTTTTCCTCCTTTTTTCAACTTTTATGTTTTTAAATGTAAAAAGCCGACTTTCATCTGTCAGCCATTCTTTGTCCAAAAACAGGCATCTTCGAAGTCGTCTTCTAGCGAGGCTGCCGATAACTCCCTCTTTTTTGAACTGCTTGGATCTCGGTACAACATTCGTTTTTGAGACTTACAGGGAGGGCTATCCGATTCTGCGAACCCCTCATTATCTCGTCCTTTTCTCAACTATTGTCGAAAGATACATAAATTTGGCATTTCCGGAGCCTCCTTTCATCCCCCGTTTAGAACACTTTTTGGGTTTTTTCGGTTCAGTTTGAGTTTTCTCCTCCCCCCTCCCCCCAGTCCTCGCCCCTGGAACTACTCGTGATGATGGCTACTGCTGTAATTTCACAAGTACTTTAAAAAAGATACAGTCTACGGCGGAGAGTGCCTGCGTAGCCTCGGTGAATGTGACGATGTGTTGGCCGAAGCTGTGATGCCGGATCTGATAGACAGGCAGCGATTCGCCGTAGAGTCGGCCGCGCAAGTTGCAGTCCAGGAACTGCTGCTCGGAGAGGAACTTCTCCAGGCGCTCCAGCGTGGTGCGCTCGTTCTTGAACATCGGCGCCCTGTAGCTGCTCCCCAACTGCACCGACCGCTCCTTCTCCATCCCGTAACTCCTGAAAAACACCTCATTGCGCGAGCAGCAGCACACCGAGAAATCGCCGCTCGCCCGCGGTGTCTTTGATGTGGGGCAGCACGACGGGGACAGACACGAACTCGCGCAACCCTTGGAACCATTCTTCCGTAGAAAACATGAAGTCAACTTCGCCACGCACTATTGACGGATCCAGGGGGCAAGGAGCCTTCGCCCCAGGGGCTCAGGTAGCAGTTGTTTTACTGTACAAAAATGTACTCGGTACACCCCCCTGTCGCCTCCCCCCCCTCCCTCTTAGCCTCGCCAGTCTCAGGTTAGTGTCCGTTGGCGCAACCAGGGCGGGGGACAGGGGTGCAGTTGGACGACCGGAGGAGGTAGCGCAACGACTGAAGGGTGGATTGGGAGCTGGCCGAAAGGAGGGGAGGGGATACAGTGACGAAGGGAGAAGGGGGGATGAAAAATCGCCCCCTCCCCCTCCCCAGATAACTGCCCTAGATCCGCCTATGCTACCCATGGGCAACGGAGGCATAGTTCGACACAGTGCAAACGTAAGAAGCGAACAGAAATTCGGTTTTTTGTGGAGCCCCCTCGCGTTTTGTGGAGTTTAGCACGCATCGTGTTTGCGATACGTCAACTTGGCGCTAGTTCCTACACGTGGTGCCGAGGCGAAGAAGCGAACACACGCCACGCAGACCGGGCTAATTCCTAACGCACACCCAAAACGCACGAACAATTCCCGCAACTGCAACGTGCCCTCCCACTCGTCCAAGCCAAAGCATGCCCCGAAACAAGCAACCAACCACCGCCCCAACACACCAAAACATTGGAACAAGGAAGTACGCGCCGACTATGAAATGAATGGATCAAATGGATCGTCGTGAGACCACGAAAAGAGGAAATGAAATAGACTGTGAAACGCATATATGTATTATAAAAAGTTAAGAAGATGTACGGAGGACATATGGGGAAGGTAAATGTGAAACTGGCTGTCTGTATTTCATCCCTAAGCTGCAAACACAGACAGTATACGGTATGGATTGGGGTGGGAATCATCAGTGCAGCCCCCAACCCACCATTTGGAAATTTTGATAACATGAATGCGTGGTAGGAGAAGAGCAAAGGAAAGAAAGAAGATAGGGAAGAATAGAAGGTGGATGGATAAAGAAATGAGGGCAGGGGGAAAACCCGACTTGGTTCGGCCGAGAGATGCGTTGCGCGGCTGGGAGTTGGAAGACTGAGAGTTGCAGATGGGAGAGGTAGTGGGTGATGCTTTAGGTGCCGAGAGATAACGGGTGAGAAGGGACAGGATTATTGTCTTGAAAGGAACTAAGACGTTGATCGGAGGTAGAAATTGGATATAGGCAGGGATTTGTGGAGGAAAAGGCCTAAGTGAGTTTATTATGATCACTGTGAAAATTAGTGCTGAGGGGAAGTTAGCAGCCTTGAATGCGACACCTAGAAATTCACCTAAAGCAAAACCCCGGTACTAAAACTTCAGCAGCTCAAAACGGAATCCAATCTAGGCAGAGGGATCGATCACGCCAATAAAAGTGAGATTGGCCCTCTACAGATAAAATCCAGGCTGGAATGCAGCAGGTTTGTCGGTGCGACCATGCATTTTTGCACCAGACTTGGACTACTCAGGTTGTTATGCGTTTTTGCTTATATACAAATTGCAACCCAGACGAGCCGGTGCGATCATGCGTTTTTGCATCAAACTTCAAGTAATTAGGTTAACTGCATGAACGGTTGTTTCTGTTCGCTCAATTCCGTAAATCATCGTAAATTTTGCATAAAAGGAAATAAACAATTTCCGTTTAGCGGTTTAACAATTTTACAATTTCCCGCTAAAAAAGTTTCACAGAGCTGCACGTGAGACCACGTACGGCTGGGAGATGAATTTGATATCTTTAAGTCGCACGTGGCTTGGGAAAGTTCCTTGAAAATTTCAGCTTCCCAACTTCTGCTAATTCTCGAATTAGCCATTTTCCCACCAAAAAATTTCGCGGGGCTGTACATGAGAACCACGTACGACTGGGGGCTGAATTTGATCCTGTAAATCGTACGTGGGTTGTGAAAGTTCCCTGAAAATTTCAGCCTCCCAGTTTTGTTAATTCCCGAGTTAGCCATTTTCCCGCCGAAAAATCTCACGGGGCCATACGCGGGAACCACGCACAATTGGAGGCTGAATTTGAAATGTTTGAGTTATATGTGGTCGCGGGACATAGCCTCAAAATTTCAGCCTTCTTTCTTTTCTCGCTCCCGAGTTATCAATTTTCCCGCCAAAACTTTCACCCCTTCGTACGCGGGGCCCAGACTTGCGTGAGGGTTGGTACCGCGGTTCTGGGGTGGCACTTGACCGGGGAACCTACTAGCAAAATCTTGGCACTGGAACTTTCTTGGCTGCCGTGTTGAAATACGAGGACAGATGAACACACACACACACGCACACGCACACACACACACGCATACACATACACACACATTCACACACACACAAACATACACACACACAAACATACACACACAGACAGGATCGTCGCGATATGCGTTTTTGCAATTTGCATATATCAGAAACGCATGAAAACGACCGCTAACAGAAATTCTGTATGCAAAATTTACAATGATTTACGGCATTGAGCGCACAAGGTAGGTATGAAGAAACGACTGTTCATGCAGTTAACCTAATTATTTCAAGTTCGGTGCAAAAACGCATGATCGCATCGGCTCGCCTGGTGCGTTCCAGCCTGGGTTAGCTGCATGAATGGTTGTTGCCATACACCGACCTTTTGAACTCAGTAGCTTAAATCATCGTAAATTTTCCACAAAGAAAACGAACAATTTCCGTTTAACGATCGTTCTTTGAGAATTAGCGAGCTATTCGGTGAGCAATTTTCCCGCCAAAACTTTTAGGTGCCCACATGTGAGAACCATTCGTACCTGGAGGCCGAGCTTGAAATATTTATTGAACATTTCCTAAAATTTCAACCCTAGCTTTTCTAGTCCCCGAGTTAGTGGTTTTCGCGCTAAAACTTTAACTTGGCCATATATGAGTACAACATGTTTGTGTGGCTGAATTTTAACCTTTAAGCTACGTCGACGGGGAATATACCCTTAAAATTTCAGCCTTCCAATTCTTCTGATTGCCGAGTTAGCAATTTTCCCGCCAAAGCTTTCAGGTACCCGTGCATGAAAGTCACGTACATTTAGGGGCTGAATTTGAAATCTTTAGCTCGCACATGCGGAGAGAATATTTCTGCAAAGTTTCAGCTTTTTACCTCGCCTGATTCGCACAATCGTTTCCCGCCAAAGGAATTTGCATACTACGCGAAGCCTAGGCGCCTACGAACGAAAAATTTAAAAAGAAAAAAAAAAGTGTCATACATTTACTTTAAAAAAGCTGCAGTTAAAACAGCTAGAATATAAGTGTGTTCGTGCTGTACGCATTCTTACACTGACCGCATATAGTTTATTTAAAAAACTCTATGCTGGGGCAGCACTAGATTTGCCGTTTTTGCATTGCATAGATGCCAAAAACGCATAAAAATCATTGGCGACGCGCACTAGGGGGCCCCGTGCGATCATACGGTTTTGCAGTGTTTCGTGCTGTAATAAGGTTATTTGAAATTCTGCTAGCTAGAAAACTCTTGTACATACTGGTCCTCGAATTTCGGGAACTCAATTATCCACGCTATAGTTGGACAGGGAACATTC